GAAGGCAACACAAAATCCTCCAAGAATACCACAAAGATGGTAAATAATGCCAAAACTGAATCTTCGATGCCAGTTAAACCATGGAATTTTCAAGGACCGATCCCACACAACTATGAACATATACTCAAGGATGCAGACTCTCCTGTTGCTAATTCTTCCAACTGGGGAAACCTGTTGGATCAGCTATATGCTGGGGTGTTCTTAGCTCACAAAACAAAGGCAAGTTCAATGTCATCTAGTTTCAAAGTATCTACTTTATAAACTGATTTTTTTATAATTGAATTACACTTAATTCTATTTTTTTAATATGGTATTACAATCATCCAAAACATATTTTAAAAAATTTGTTGTTTGATAATTGAGTTTAATATTTCCCCTACACTCAAAATATATATATATATATATATATATTGTGATATAAAAAAATTGTATTGAAAATTTTACATAAAAAAAAATATTAAATATAAGAAAATATAAATCTATTACTTTTATAAAATCAAATTAAACTTCTCTTCATGTTACTTGTTCATGTTAGCTCTTTGTATAAATGGACATGTCTATAAGAAGTGTCTTTAAGAAGAGAAGTTTAATTTAAATTGGTTTTTAGCTCTTACACTTTAATAACCAAATTCAAAAAGATATGTTTTCATATTGGTTAAATCAGTCATAAAAGTTTTATGATTATTTGAACTATCCTTTATGTTGGTGCTGTTAATTAGAGTTTGAGATAATAACTCGATTTAAGATTATGATTTACTGACTGAACAATCTTTGGTGTGATTAACATTATTTGTGCACAGAAATATTGGGTAGAGAAGAAGTCCAACAGCAACTGTTTCGTGTTGTATGCAAGAGCACTCTCAATCACCTGGGCAGAAAATCAAAACTATTGGACATGGGAACAAAAGAAAGAAGAAAGGTAAGCATTCATTACTAGAAAAAAAGTTATTTTCTAGTATATATAAAAAGTTTTTGTGTAATAATGTTGTTAAATTATAAATAAGACGAATTTATAAATATAAATATATGCATAATTGAGAGAAACTTGGTAGATAAACTTGTTACGTGTGTTGCAGTGGTAGCATGATAGAGTTGGCTACACTGAAAAAGGTATGCTGGGTAGAAGTGCATGGGAAATTTGATATTGGAATGGTTTCACCAGGAGTTTTGTATCAAGTCTCATTTATTGTGATGTTGAAAGATTCAGCTAAAGGGTGGGAAATTCCTATAAATGTTAGACTTGTTCTTCCTGGAGGGAGGAAACAAGAGCAAAGGGAAAATTTAATGGACAAGTCAAGGGAAAGATGGATAGAGATTCGAGTAGGTGAGTTTGTGGCCTCTGAAAAAGATGCTGGCCAGATGGAGATCTCCATGTATGAATATGAAGGTGGCATGTGGAAAACTGGACTTCTCATTCAAGGTCTTTCCATCAAACCAAAGAATTAACATACACTTTCTACTTAACTTGTTTTTCTCATGGTTCTCTTTCTTTTTCTTCTATTCACAACTGTTTAATAAATTCTAAGTTACTGTTAAGATGGAATCGTCAAAGTAATCTCAAAATTTTACATTAACTTGTTACTTTTTATTTTATTTTATCACATTGATATGAACATGTGATATGGTATAATAACTCATCCATGTTTATTTGGTAAAAAAAATGACCCGTTATCAACACAAACGTGTTTATGGAGATAATTTTAAACTTTTACTTCAACTAGAGTGGTAGACAAAACTAAAAAAATTTCAAAAATAGAATCAAAACTTACAATACTATACAAATATTAAATATAATAATTTAAGATAACCATGAACTTAATTTTTTAAAGAAAATAAAATAATTTAATTAAAGGCGTAAATGTTAATTAAGTCAGTTTTTTCATATCTATTATTAATTAAAGACATTTATAGGATGACAACATAAGGTGGATTAGTCTATGTCCCTGTTTTACTAGTCAAATTTGGGCGCCTAAAATAGGGTGCGTCAGTATGTAATATCCGTATTTGATTTTTTTAAGGTAAAAAGAATAATTAAACTCGTCAATGTTAAATAAATCAAATTATTCATATTTATTATTAATATTTATGGACTAATTCTTGTGTATTTGTATTTTATTATTTTAAATATATATTTTTTTAATTCAAGACATCAAGGTTAAATAAATAAATTTATCCATATTTATTATTAATATATATGGGACCAACTGTTCATATCTATTTAGTCTTTTAGTTTCTTAATTATGATAATTATATTTTATCTTAACTCATTAGATGTTTTCATTGTTGTTTTCTGTGTGTATTTGTTTGAGAAATAAGTTGTAGGTATATAATGATTTATGTTATTTTTATTCATATAAATATATATATATATATATATTAATTTTTTCAATCCTAGTTTTTAATTAATTATATTTGCATTAATGTTCGTCAACTATTGGGAATGTATATTTTACATTTCCAAATAAATGAAAGATACCACCAAGAAATACCATGGTTGCAGGAAATGGGCTAAAAAAATTCCTTGCCTCCATTCTTGTTTTCTTCCTCTTTACTGAAAATAAACTTTCCTTTGAACAAAAATAAAATACAAACATACTGGAGAAAAACGTACAAAAATGCAAAAAGTATATACAAAAACGAACTTTATACATAGCATGCCGCCATTGACATAGGAAGTTAAGAATGTCACAAATAAGGTATTCATACGATTCACATTATATACAAGAGTGTCAGGAAGATGGTATTCATTTTCACAACAGATACAGAAGGTTCACAAATATCATACATGAAACAGTGGAATATGGCACAGCAAATCAAAAGAATATCACTATATACACACAAGAGATGCCAACCATAATGAATTATAAAGAAATTATTCCCTCCACTCCAAGTTAGTCGTACTTCAACAGAATGTGATTCACAAGGCATCAACTGAAACAGCCAGAGCATTCAGTTGAACATGTTTACTGTCAGTGCCTGGGTGAATAACCAGGGTAGCATGAGCCTCAGAGTAAGATTGATTGGCTCCTTCATGTGAAACTGATATGGAGCAAATTTTATCCGATGTATTACTCAGGTCATCTTGGTCCTTGGAAATAATTTCCCATTCCTCTTTTAGGGATGCTACTTCAACACCCTTCTCTTTATACCTCTCCATTTCAAAAGCAGTAGGTAGAATCACAAAGTCATTGAGGGGATTGTAAAAGGGATCAGGAACTCCAGCCTTCAGCCAGTGCTTGATAAGCCGGAATACATGTGGCTCCCGAAGGATACCCCGATGTTCACCTGGCACTCCAACCCTAGCCTCAGCATTAAGACCATCAGCCTGCATTTAGGTTTAATCAAAATATACTTTGGGCTTTAGCTCAATTACTCCTAACAGTAATGCCACATAATATCAAGAAAACTAACATGTAATTAGATCAGACATATCAATTGTACAAGGATTGCGTATATAGGAAAATAAGCAAACCTTGGCTGATTCTATAGGAACTGTTCCATCTCCATCCACAAATACATATTTGGCCTGGGTTTTAAGAAAGATAAAAGTAAGCATGGTCTACCAAAGCAAAGAAAAGTATACATATGATGTGGAGAAATAATTTACAAAGATTTAGCATAAAAGATTATCGAATAAAAATACTTGAACTATATCACACCAGAAAGATAAGTGAGATAACGTTATGAAGTCAAGAGGTTGTCATGTTCCAAAGTCAGGCATACCACAAGGGCTTTAAAAACAAATTATTTAAATTTAACAATTCTCTTAGCCTACAGTTTATTGACTAATCAAATACAGACGGAGAAAATGCAGATGGATCCGGACTTTCCTTCAGAAATAAAAATAATAATGCATAACCTGGGCAATGGATATTGTGTGCACCATACCATACAACTCTCCGTCTCATTCAAGACAAAGCATGAATCATGAAACAAGTATTTAACACAATCACAAATGTACTGACCTGGAAATAACGTAGCTTCTGCAGATCTGTGACAGGCTTGTCCCCACTCCCAAAACTGTAGAATGATAGTTGTGTCAAGTGACGACTCACATGTTTCCAAAAGAATTATAAATATTGGCATGTTCAAGGGTAACCATGATAATATACAAAGAATTGATAGAGGCATTACCAAACACTATGAGGTGTCTCAAGATTGGTCCCATAAATATTGTAAAATTTAACTTGTGAGGGAAGTTTGGCAGAAGATAGAATCTCCCATGTTTTGTTTGCCCAATTAAGGATATCCAAGTTGAAGGGCAGGGATATATCCTCACCATCATAATTAACCTGGATCACAGTTAGAGATATATATAAATAAACATCCTAGATGACTAGATCTTGAATAGCAACAACACCAGCATTCCTTAAATGCATTAATGTATTCTACAGAAATCCACCACTCCACTTTCCCCGACCCTGGCATAAATAAAGATGAGTAAATTAAATTGACACTCCCAGCAGTTTTGTTAAGTTTCTCCCAATATCATCATTTCTTCTACCCGTTCACTGCCTAATTAATTGTTTTGAAAACATTACACTGATATCCTTTATGCATTACACTAACACCCTTTATACATTAAGCTAACCCTTTAATTGCTTGAAAATCATTAAGAGAAGTTGTTGTGAATAATAGAAAAGTACAGCGGTTGTGTGCAATGTCAAGAAATCACAAGGGGTGTGTAACTGTAAATTATTCTAAATATTTCCTTAAACTAGGAGAGGGTAGAGACCAAGTTAAAGTTCCAAGTTCATCTCTAGATATGAAAAAGGCAAAGCATCTTTAAATTATGTTTTCTTCCATCCCAAGTTATCCATTAATCATTATTTGTAGATTTTACTAGTCAACAGCAAAAAGTGTCCAATGCTCCAAAAATAAAATTTAAACTATAATGCATTCAGTTTCATCGAAATTTCATACTCAAATTTAATGAAGTTCCATTATTGTCCATGCTGTGCAAGTTAACACAGTTAACTTACAGTGTTATTTACAAGAGCTTGCTTCAAAATCTCAATGCTGTCACATGGTGGATATGACTCCAGAACAACATGTGATTTCCCTTCAGAATCATGTCTCTCACGCCACAATTCCAGAACAGGAACATGTTCCCAATGAAAATTAGGACAACCTCTCAGTTCATAAACCGATGGACATTCAATAAGCTGTGATTGGAACAAACTAAAATAAATAATTTACAATATTGAAGTATCTAAATACAAAAATTAGAAAGAGAGAACACGATTAATCAAAATGCATACAAAAACAATGCAAGACTATGCTTTAGATAATCTTTTTTCAAAAGGGAGCAGCACAAACAACAGAAAGAGAGAAGACCATCCAACAACACATACACTGGAAAATCAGAACATGCAGACTATATCAGAAGATCATACAAAAGATGAAAAGCAATCCATTAATAAAATAACTTTTACAAAACCATAAATAATAACAGAGAAAACTATCATTATATTTCTTTTCTACCAAATTAGGTCACTAAATTATTTTTCCTTCTAATGTAATCATAGTTTTAGAAAACATAATTGTGAAGTGTGGTTAGTAATTAAGCAATTCCGTTATTTGACTTTGATTCAGGAAGAGGTCATCATCACTGCTTTTCAATATTTTCAGACTGGTTAATAAACACTTAATCCACACTTTGGCCAGTAGCCATTGCTGAATGGTAAGGATAAATTGCCGACACAGTGGATAAACAAATTCAAAGAACAAATCCAGAAAACAAATAACTGATATATACCAACTGGTGCATGCTCCATTTGGAAATAAAAAGGTTCTGTTCCCATCCTTCCACAAATGACATTCCATTTAAAAAGGTAGCATTGGTGCTTCCAGGTGCACCTGCATGAATGTGATTGTATAACTACACCATCATGCACTTTCCATTGCAAAAACAAATAAATAGAAAACCCTTAACCAGATGAAACAGAACACATGAAAGCAATAAAAGAAAATTATTAAATTATACAATTCAAATCATATCTAGGTTAAATCAAGTGAAAAGACAGTAGTGATCTGTTATGCACTATGTTTTTCCATTAACTATTTAAGCATATGAAGAAAATATGGCATTGCCTTCAAATATACTAAACAAGGGAAACAAATTTCTAATAGACCTATCATTACAAATTGCATTGAAATGCTAAAAGAATCATTCATCAAATATCCTTAATTATAAGTCCATACTTTTGATAAATACAAAATAGAATTACTAACCCTGGAATGGTGCAGTAATCGCAACCCAGTTCTTAACATATTTCTCAAAAATCTGAGGAAGGTAACAAAAAAATATAGTCATGTATCAGCAGTAGATAAAATAAAACCAAAATAAGAAGCTTATCAGAGATGTTTTACATCACTTTGCAGGCACATGAAGCATTTGACCAAAAGACCACCCATAGAATGACTAATGATGTTTATCTTCTTCCCCCCTGCAGCATTATAAATTGACTCTAATTTTGCACCCAACCGATCCATTGTTTCCTGCAACCTAGATGATATAAACAGAGAAGTTGTAAGAAAAATTGCCTTCACTTTGTTTGAGTAAATACTTGTTAGAGATCTTATCCTTGGGTGAGAAATCAAACCACCAGTAAACCAATAATCAAAAGAAACACTTGAGAGACATCAATCAGATTAAATTCCATTTGGACAATTATAATTCACTTTAGGCTGATCAAAATTTCACTTCTTCAGACAAATGTTCCTTTAATAAAAATAAAACAAATTATAAAACTAGTGAATTCTTTACAAAGAATCAATTCCATAAAAAACATGAGATAGTTTTTACATGCAGAAAGATGTAGTTAAATAATCTCATAAATTGTACATATGTGCCGAGTAGGATGTTTGAATTTCTTTAATTAGCTACCTGTTGCTTTGGCGAAAATCATATCCAAAGCCAAAAAGTGTCTTCCCCTCTTCAAATCCCCACTTACGCATTTCAACAATCATGTCATGGAAATAATACACACCCTCACTTCCAATCATCTGCTCAAAAGAATTATATACGATTCATGAATAAATTGGTTATCTGCGTTGCAAATATAAGCAACTCAGTATAAAACAGGCATACCAAATCAGGGTCCAAAATATCAATTGCATAGAGTCCATGCCTATCTTCAGGAATCATAATTGTTGAATTTGGATCCATGGACTCAGTTTTTCCTGGTTTCAAAGAAGATTATTGTGTATGTTCAGATCACCAATTTCAATTTTTTTCATAGCACACTCTTCAGCACAAAACACATGATTTCAGTAAAGAAATAAATAAACTGGGCAGGCACAGAAGCTTGGGTACGCGCAGGGCCATTTGGAAGAGCTTCTGCAGAGCTTGTTTGGAGTTATCATACAGAACTCAAGCTTAAAATTGAAGGCTGACTAAGAAGTAGCTAAAAATGTAATTAAGCTTTTGAAAGTGGCTCCTAAGCTTTTTATTTAGCTTTTGTTTGCACATCAAATTCGTGAGTCAGGTGACATTTTCATGTCAATAACATAAAAAGTATAACTCAGAAGCTACTATTTATAGCTTTTGCTTGATGAGAATCAAATAGTGCTACATGTTAAACCAAAAATATGGTCAACGAGTTTCATGGGGAAGCTTCAAAAGAGATAAGCTCTAACTGGAATAACTCTTATCAAACAAAAACTTAATTAAGCCGTTTATCCACATACGTCATTTTTCAATCATACAATACCTTGTTTCCCTGACTAACTATGGCCATTAATTAATTATAGGTAAGGGAGAAAAAAAACACAGCACAATTCCGTATTTTACCACATAAAGCTGAAATTTTAAATTTTTTAAAAGAAAAAAATAACACATACGCTGATCAAATTTAACCTTTTTACTTTTCTTTAATCAGAAAAAATCTTCAGATAAATAAGCAACCGATGAAACAAAACAGCATCAGTTCAACTTCCAACGTGCTTAATTTATGTAAAATGAAAAATTAGGTCTACCAGTGGAAGGATCATAACGCGACCAAAGCTTGGTCTTCAACTTGTACTCGGCACTGAGGAAACGAACCCAAACGCGCTCCTGGCTCCCATCGGGGTCGCTAACGGCGTGTAAAATGGAGCCGCCGACACCGGGAACCAGTAAAACTGGGTCGAGATTAGGGTTGACGTAGGCCTCCGGCTGCGGCTTTTTCATCAATTTGAGCCACAGCTCCATGGTTTGGAGAATTTCGCCCAACAAGATCGCCATCAAGAATCAAAGTTAGGGTTTGGAATTTTTGGATGATTTGGGGAAGGTGCTGTTATGTTCCGTTAAATGGTTATTTCTTCACGATAAGTGTTCCAGCACAACTCTGCGTTGCACGGAAGGTTCAGAGTTTGAAGAAAGAACTATAGCGTGGAATTCAAGAAAAATTAATTGCCACTTGTCATGTTTATTATGGTTACCATTAATCGCCTTTGAAACAAAACAACAAACTCAAGGGTATCTTAGTAAATATATTTATTAACAATCTAATCAAACTTTTAATTTTCTAGCTTCAATCATTTATTTAAAGAGAAATTACTATTTCCACCCCACCTTTCTTAAGTTTAACCTCAATGTTTCTTTTAAAAAAACTGGTTTTAGAAAACATACCTGGAAGATTTTGTTTTAGTTTCCACAAATTATAATAATAAAAACATAACATAAGCTTGACAATGCATAACACCAACCCATATTTGTGCCTTAAAAACCGTAATGAAACAAATTTTAATGCTATTTATATGACAAATACGTTGAGTCAGTTGCAAGAAAAAAAAACGTTACATAAAAAATCATTAATTTTAATCTTATTCATGAAATCACTTCATAAATATATTTTTATTTTATCAAACATTACAACAACAAAAAATCATTAAATTTTGTTGTGTTGAAATAATAAAATTACACAAGGTAACAAACCCTCAAACAATTTTGAATTTCAAGAAATTGTAAAATCAAGTAACAAACGGGGAAAATTTTAGAGTTTTTCACAAAATAAATTTTAATTTAAAACGTTTGAATAATGAGGAGTAAAATCGTCATATTGTTGACCAATGCTGCTTATGAACCATATGTTGTCTACATTCGTATGTTTTAATTCATTTTAATGATTTATATCATCTACCTCTTTCATTTAAATTAATTATTTTTCAAAGACAAATTTCACAAGAAAACCAACAAACAACATCATGGTACAACGGATTATTAAAAAGACACTCATTACATGAAAGAATAGAAAAAATAAAACTAATTTAGATTTGCGACATGTCAATCCATTGTAATAAATCAAAATAGGCCCTATCAACTTAAATAGCATAACTTGACTAAGTTAATTAATTATTAGTTGATAAAAAATATTTAACGTTTAATGATTTTTCTTCTAATCTAAGTCTAATGTCTTCTAGCAGCTACATTTTAAACTTCATATATATATATATGTTTGCTAACGCGCGTACGACTATTTTCAGTTGGTACATTTTAGCAATGTGTACCGAGTTTTAATAGACAAAAATACCCTTATATCATGGATTCTAAGTTTTACGGTTAAGGGTATTTTAATAAATTTCATTCTCAAAACTAAAAAAAACCCAAATTCTTACCGACCTCTCTCATTCCTCCCAACCCTTTCTCTTTCATCTTTCTCACTTCAACCTTTTCTCTGACATTCACTATAGCCCCAATTAAAAATCCACCTCCTCACTTATCCAATTTGTGTGTGCGTGAAAAAGAGTATGGAGATGCGAGAGAAACAAATTGGATAAGTAAGGAATGTGGATTAGGGTTAGGCAAGTGTTTCTGATTTTTTCAATTTGGGCAATGGTAAGGATGATAGAATGAGAGAGAAAGGCTTGAGAAGAATGAGAGACGTGAGTAAGGATTTGGGGGGTTTCTTTTTCTTTTTTAGTTTTGAGAATGAAAATTATTAAAATATTCATAACCTAAAAAGTTAGAATTCATAATATAATATATAAGGGTATTTTTGTCTACTAAAACCCGACACACATGGTTAAAATGTACTAATTGAAAAGCATGCATACGCGCATTAACAAACTTTTATATATATATATATATATATATATATATATATACCAAAAAAGAAAATAAAATAATAGACAAAAATTTCTACACTTAGTTATACTTTTCTTTACGACAGTGGTACAAGAGATAATATTTAAAAGAAACAATTTAAAAAAAAAAGTGATTTTGGTTTTTTAGACAATGGAAACGCAGCTCAATACATTCTTTTAAAAATAACTGAGTGATAAATTGATTTTAAGATTAATATATTAAATTTGTTATAAATTTGTATTACCTATGACCATGACTATTAGTACGACTCCTTCTTGACTTTCGATCTACTAAATCGTATGTACTTGGTCAATTTCTATTCGACTAATACAACATCACATAAAATACTTAAGTACCATGATTTATGGTTAATTACGATAATTCAAAAGCTAACAATCATTTAGGTCAATGGGTTGAGGTTTATTCAAGTAAAAATTCATAAACAATAAGTATAAATAATATTTACGAGATATGTTAATGACGTTTCCTTAATTATCACATTTGTATTTTGCTGACACGATAGGTTAACTTGAGCGTCAAAGTATCTTTTGCAGACACAACTCGATTCTGTCTTAGGGAGAACAAGCATTCAAGAAGAGAACGAGTATTATGGAAATTGAAGGTTGGAAGCACTTGAAGAGTATTTGGAAGTCTTTGCAGGGTACACACTCGATTTTGTATGAACAATTGATAATGGAAGCAGCTCCACAGTTCAAGTGAGAGCTCCTCCAAACTCAGAATCGTGGCAGCGGAATGAGTTGAAGAATGAAGACGCGAATGCACATCAGGTGTTCGATGAATGGTTCAGTGGAGGTTTGGTGAGTGTGTGAGGTTTCTCAAGCTTAGAAAGCCTTCAAAAAGGGAAGGAAGCTAGAGGAGAGAGTGCATAATAAGAACAAAGAAGTGAACTCTCAAAGAATAAACCTCGAGTAAACTCAACAACATTTCTTTATCATTTCAAAGTTCATTTTACAAAGGAGTTGCATCTCTCTTTTATAGTGAAGAGAGAGCTCTAAATCTTGCTTTGCAAGCTTCTACAATATACAAAGGAAGTGTGCTTGAGACGCTTCAGAGCTTCTTGGGCCACAAGTCTCACAGAAAACACATTAAAAACGTGTTTAAAATGTTGAATTCTGGTGCGTTTTAGCTAGGCACGAGCAGTAGATGGTTGGGCGCGATTACCAATTCGGAAGCTAAATTTACATGCATTTCCAATCCGGAAGCTATTAGCTTCAATCCGGAAAACACCCTTTTTCATCCCTTCTTTGATTCCTTTGATTCCTTTGGCTCTCCAAGCTTCTTTGGTTGATTCTCCATGGTCTTCAACCTTTATTCAAGGCCTGTAAAACAATGCAAATATTATTTAGCAAAGTAAATTCATCTAAGACATAGATAAGGAAAGAACTTTAGAAATCCTTATTCTACTTCCCTTTCTTTAGTCTTAGTTTAAGTGTTTTCTTCTTTATATGGAAGTCCTAAAGGAGTTTGTCATCAATTGACACCACCATGGGGCTTACTTGTATTTTGTGAAGAAAGCATTTATGGTGTCCACAAGAAGCAAGATGGTTAGAGAAAAAGAAGTAGGACCCTCATTGGCTGATATAGCCTCTATCCTAGACGCCCAAGTGAAAATGTAGTAGGAGTTCACCAAATTTAAGAAAAAAAGTGTTGAAGAGATTAACGCTCTAAGGTAGGAGAATGACGGGCTGAAAAGGAGGATTAAGATTGAAGGAATGACTATTAAGGGAAAGGAGAAAAAAACCCTTGATAACACATTATCAGTGAAAAACCTCAACCTCGCACCGGTCTTGTCCGTGGGAATGAAGAAGAAAACAAGTATAATCTTATCCCAAAGACACACAACTCCTCGATAGTAGGAGGAAACTGCTAACATACTTTCATAGAGGGTATCTTTAATACCCTCTTCCTAAGAAATGGAAGGATATTACATTGGACCGATATGATGGTAGCACCAACCTAAATGAGCATGTTGTCGTCTATACTACTCAAGTCAGTTTGTACATGATTGGTGATGCCATCATGTGCAAGGCTTTTGCCACCACTCTAAAAGGGGAAACCCTAGAGTGGTTCACTCACCTTCCCCATATTCCCTCAACCCTAGAGTGTGTATGTTTAGTTGAGCTATTTGTGATAATTGTTGAGCCATAGGTGTTGTTGGCCGTGTTGTTATGTTTTTTTGCTGATTTGTGTGGTTAGTTGTGTGATGTTTGAACATGATTGTATTGTGTGTCATTGATTGTATGTGTGTGAGGTTAAGACAAGTCATTTTGTTGTACCTAGTAAATCCAATGATGATTCTTTTGGTCGTGCGATGCGGGAAATGGGTCCTCTTCGGTTGTGCAATGCGGGAAGAGGATGAGTTTAAGTGTTGTCGGTTATATTGAACAGGTGGTATGGTATGGTATTGGGGATAGACCACAAGTGTTTGTGGTAATGTGTTTATTGTTTGATGTAAATGTGTTTGCCTTTATGGATTGGGGAAGGATACCTGAATAGGGTGGATGAGTGTACTTATTGTGTATTATCTTGTATTTTTTATTGTTAGCTAACCATTGTATGTTGTGGTTGTGATTTTCACCTGCGATGATCATTTTTATACGTAAACAATGATGTTGGTGCTTAGTGGAGTGAGAATACACATGGGAAAATAATGAGAGAATTTTTATAATATTTTGAGAAAGTAATAAAGTTTATGTTTAAATTTTTTTAACATTATAGGTTGTAATTGAATTAATTGTTTCTTTCAAATGATTTTAATTATTTTCACTGAAAATAATGAAATAAAGTTTTAAATTTTGCACTATTTTGTTATGATATTAATTATGCGTGCCATCCTAAGATGGGGTGTTACAAATGGACACAAACTCAAGTAAAAATCCATAAACAGTAAATCTAAATAATACATCTTAAGATATATGTTAATGATGTTTCATTGATTACTATATATATTGTTTGATGATGTAATATGCTAACTTGAGCTATATTTTTTTTTTTGCATACATAACCACTTTCCATTTTAAGGAGAATTGACAAGGATGAGTAGATTAGAGATAGAAGGTTGGAAGTGCTTTAAAAATCTTTGAAAATCTTTTTAGAGTACACATTTGATTAATTTGACTATGTAAGAACAAAATTGATTTTAATAGAAATATGAAATGTTTAGTAAAAATGTGATTTCTTTTAACATGTGATTTATATAAAAAATAAATTTAATCTCAATTTAAAGTCAAATTATTAAATTAAACAAAATTTAAAAAAAATTACATTGAATTGAACAAAATAAAGTAAAATTGAAACTAAATCGAAAATAAAATAATAATTAATATTGATTTCACGTCTACAAATGACACTTGACAATAAACATGACACTGACACTACTGACATTTGACACTAATTTAACTAATAATATAATATTAACTTATGTAAACAACTTCTTTTTAAATTAAAAAAGATTAAAAAAATTAAAAAAAGTAGAAACCGACACCTTTCATTAATTATTAAAACATTGTTAAGAAAATGATCAAATTAATGAAAATACAATTAGAAAAAAATGGTGAAATTAATCAAAATGGATGAAAATTAAAACTTGGGAAAAAAAAACCAAAGTTGATCTCACCAATACAGAGATCATTTAAGGCAACAATCAATTAATGTTTTCATAAGTATAAAAGATTAAAAGATTGTAGATGAGCCTTAAAAAATAAATACATTTGTCAGGCTCTCCTTTGCAGACACACTATCCAGTTTCAGTCGCGCGTTGAGCCCTTCTTATGCATCGAAACAAACGAAATGAAAGTTGCTTCGTTGATTTCTGGTTCCACTGATTACACTCGCCTCTTCTCCATTAAGGTAGAACACTCTTATCTTGCTCACTTTCATTGTGTGATTTTGAAAGGTGTTATGTGTTAACCCAGAAAAAGAAACTGACAAGTAGAACACTGGCTATTGAATTGTTGATTAAAAGGACAATGCGATGAGGGAAAAGAAGCCAATTCTTGCATGGGAAGAACTGAAGTTCTTCAAGAGTTTGGCTCCTCCTCTTGTGGCTGCTTTTCTTGTCTTATCTCCAATTTGCACCACTCCACGTGAGTTCTCTCATCACTCCTTTCCTCTTTAATGCTTCTTCTTTTGATTCAAACTGCATCACTGTCAACATGCAATTACCCACTCTTTGTTTTATACATCAACTTTTAAAAATCAATCCTTTTTTTTTTCTCATGGGCATTGCTGCCGAAATAGTACCGAAAATAATTTAGATTTCATAATATTTGAGTATCTTAGTACAATTGTACCGTAGAGAGATTCGATTGTTTTCAGGATTGAGTATTGTTGAAAGGACTGATTTCTTGAATCCCAATTGAATGAGATGTATAAATATGGGAGATTCATATCAATCTAGAAACACATCTTCGATGCATGATTCTTCTTCAAGGATACATACATCTAACTGAACAATGAATAAGTAATATAACTGACCTCTTATATTGTTATCCTATTACTGTGTAGGATAACTGTGTTGATTTTTATAATGATTAACTTTGAAAGTTATATTGAAGATAATTTATAGTTTCTGATTAATTGATAGAAAAAAAAAATACTCTTTTACTAAATATTTTTACCTTTTAAACTTTAGAGCATCTGTAATTCAAATTACAGAGTTTGTTAGACAGTTCAAAGGGTGTTAGTGTCTTCGTCAATACCATGTAAAAGACACCTCTTTGAATAGAATAGGGAGGGTGTAAGTGTAAGGATGTACATTTGAAAATAATACAAAAAATTATCGTTCCGTGATTTCCTTCGTCTTCCTATGTGTGTGTGTGATTTCTTCCCAAACAAATTGGTATCAAGGGCTAGGCTGATTCGTTAGTTGTGGGGTGCGTTCATGTACTGAAGAACCTGAATTTTGAAAAGGAAGAAATGGCGAGTTTGGACAATGTTGTTTCTAGTAGTTTATCATTGTTTGAAGGAAAGAACTTTGATGATTAGAGGGTGAGGGTAATTGTTATATTCTGTTTCCAAGACGTAGGAGAAGTGGTGAAGGTGGGATTTCATGAATTAGGAATAGATGCTACTGCCAATTATAAGGAAATTTATAAATAATTCAAGAAACTTGATTGCAAGGCCCGATTCTTGATTAAGAACTATGGTGGTGCTGACAAGACAAAGAAAATCAAGTTTATGACTTTTAGAATCTGCTGCAGATTATTTCAATAGAATTCAAATACTGGTGAATGGAATGAGTCTTGCAAGGAGGAGCTCTCAGATCAGCAGCAGGTTGTTGACAAGATCTTGAGAACTTTAACTTGGCATTTGATCATGTTGTGGCAAATGAAGAATCAAAGGCCTTGATTCAATGAGTATTGAAGAATTACATAATTCACCCCATGCACAAAGAATTAATGAGAGGAGGAATGCTGATAAGAGAAGTCTCCCGAGCAAACATTACAAGTCTAAAACAGTTTAAAAAATAAAGGGAGTTCGAACCAGAAAGGGAATGGGAAAGGAAAAGGGAAAGGAGGAAGATTGAATGAATCAACTAGTGGCCAAGACCAAACTGTTCAAGATCAGAGTGATTTGACCACCAAAAGATGATTTTTTTAAGAACTCATTTAAATGAAAATTTTAGTCAGGGATTTATCAACCAACACACTCATATTTCAGGGACTAATTTGAATTTGTACTCAGAGAAAATGTATTGAACTAGTTTGAGATAAACAAAAATTGGTTGACTTGACACACTACTTAATTGGTTAACAGGTTTCCTTCTCGCATATATGCCACACTGTGACCATCAACTTCACATCGTCGATCCTCAATTTCTCTCTTTTTACGAAATGTTGCAAAATTGCATAGTTGCTTAAGGATCAAAGAACATCACTCAAGGATTGAATGATTTACCGCACCTCTACATCCAGAATTCTGATCCATTGCTAATTGTCAGTTATAACAAAAACGGCATAGGGTTTCAGACTGAAAATTCATCATCTCATCCCATGCTTGCTTTTTTTCTTTTTTTGATCGGCCTCATCTCTTGCTTGCGAAGTATTTGTGTGCCCAATAGGCTGAAATCCGTTTCTTGTTTTGGATCAACTTTGTTATTGTCTGAAATCAAGTATCTCTTGAGAACTAGTACTTCTGGACTTGTTAGCTATTTTATAAGGAAATATTTACATGTAAGAAACATGTAATTCATGTTTATTTTCTTGTGCTCTGCAGTTTCAAGTGCTCAAGCCGTAGATTTTCAGAGAGGAGCCACATTGTTTCGTCAAGCTTGTATTGGATGTCACGATGCAGGTGGAAACATAATACAACCGGTGAGCATCCCCTTATGCATGCATGACATCTCCTTATATCCTTGCAGACTCAAATTTTTTTGTTCATTATTGTTTTCCACTATTTTAACTTACAGGGGTCAACTCTATTTACAAAGGATTTACAGAGGTAATTGGAGAGAAACTAAGCACCCTCGTGATGAATTGAAAATATGATGGAGAAAGAAAGCTTTGAAATTTTTAAGGATACACTTTTGAGTACCAACTATTTCATGAGTTCGTTCTTTGGAACATCAGCAAATGTGAATTTAAAATTGACAATTTGTTGGCCTCTAGCGAAAGGTGCAGTAAACTTCTGACTATTTTTTGATATATCTTTGAACTTATCCAAATGTTACTCAACAGAAATGGAGTTGATACAGAAGAAGCGATTTATCGTGTCACTTACTATGGCAAAGGACGAATGCCAGTAAGTTATCTTGTGTAGATTTAAAGAATGAAATCATTATACATTTTAGTGTATGCATGCATTCTCTTGTCTTGGAGGAGTTAATTTAAATCATAGAAATGAAATCATATTCTTATGAAACATTACAATTTTTATGAGTTGGGGTATGTGCATTTAAACGGTTTAGTTTAGATTTGGGGTATGTTTCATTTGTTAAAGAAAGCCAAAGAAAAGTGAAACAAGCTAACTCACCCTATCACACGTATATACACAGTTAATATATTTCACTTGATGCCTTAATATTTTGTTTTTCATTGTTCATATTTTATGTCTTGCACTTCCATGCAGGGCTTTGGTAAAGAGTGCATGCCACGGGGTCAGTGCACATTCGGAGCTCGTTTGGAAGATGAAGATATCAAGATATTGGCTGAGTTTGTCAAGTTGCAGGCTGATCAAGGGTGGCCAAGTATAGACACTCAAGAAAAGTGATTTAATTCATGTTTGGTTCCACTTATTTGTAAAATATAACTGTTTATTTCTTTTAACTTTTTTTTTTTTGAAAACTTTTGAAAATAAATTATTATTTATGCAGTATTAAGCTGAACAAAACATGTTGACATTCCCGTTAAACAACAATGTTGCAAAAAACTCTACTCTATGTCAATATTTTAATATAATAAATTTAAGTTTAATTGAATCTTATAAAACTGATTTAATAAGATAAAATTTATTTATTTTATATATATAATAATTTACTTTTATCTGTGAAATCTTCTATTGGTAAAACTTTACACATAACTTTCAATACTATATTGCTTGCCAACAGTAATATTGTCACGTAATTAGTTCCCATGTGTGTCAACACCTGTCACCACATGTCATATTCTGCTTCTCTTGGTTATACGTGTTTAAAATTGTATATATGTCTTTTCCTTGTATCTCTTAATCAAGATAATTGAAATCATATTCTTCTTTTTTTTTTCTGTTTTCCTTCATTATTTCCTTTTATTTTTTTCTTAACCCTTACATGGTATTCAGAGCATCTTTTCCTCATTATGGCTTCTTCTACATCTGCCGTTACCTTGTCCAATTCCTCTTCTCCTTCTAATTCCTCTTTTCTTTCACAAACTTTCAACACACCAATCTCCCTCAAGCTGGATGAGATTAATTTTCTGATCTGGGAACAACAGGTTATGGCTACTATTCGTGGTCTCAAGTTGCTACACTTCTTGGACAAAACTGCTACTTCCCAAAATTTTCTCAATGTTGGTGATCAAATGGCCAACATGATAAATCCAAAATTTCTTGAGCATGAATAATAAGATCAACTTGTTGCATGGCTTCTAGCGTCTATGACATCAACAATCTTGACCAAGATGGTGGGTCTTCATTTTGCTGCTTAAATCTGGTTCAAGCTTCAAATGTACTGTGTCTCACACTCGGACAAAGATCAAGAAGCTCAAACTTCAATTAAAAACACCAAATAATGATCGCTCGGTGTTTACCTATCTCAATGACATAAAGAAAATTATTGATACGTTGGTAGTTATGGTAGCTCATCTTTACTCTGAAGATTATATTGAGGCAATCCTTGATGGCTTATAGGATGAGAATGATCAGTTATATTGAAGCTCTTCTTATGGCACAAGAAGAACATTTTGAACGACACAGCAATTTTTATCAAACTATTATTCAAGCAAATACAACTTATACCAAATCTCGTTTCTAGAATAAAGCCAATCGTGGTGGTTCTTCCCATACCAATTCTCGCAGGTACGTGGCAAAACAAAACTCTGTTAAATATGTAGAAAACTTGGCCACATTGCCACAGATTGTTGGCACATATATGATCAAGATAAGGATTCAAATATTCAACCTAAGACATCTCAATTTCCTTCTACAACAAGTTTAAGACAGAAACATCTAGTCTTGGAGTACATTCCATTATTCTTGATCCACTATGGTACCAAGAAAGTGGAGCATCCCATCATGTTACAAATGATATTAATTCCTTCATAAAATAGGTTGTTTGCACAGAAAATTAAATTGTGAAATATTTAGAACGAGAAGGTTGACCGGGAGAAACAACACTAATGTAAAAAAAGAATATACATTTTTGATTGAATAGTTAGAAAAATGGAAAAGTGGTAACTGGTTTAGGTTGGTGACCAACTGAAGAAAAAAATTGACTTGGTTTGAAAGATAAAAGATGAATGAAGAAAATGTCAGGAGTCAAAATGAGGCAAGCGTGGGGTTAATATTTAAAAGGATGATTCTCACTAAAGCGAGGTTAGATTATGAAATTGAATCTACTACGTGAACAGAGATCCCAAAACATTAAACAAAGTTCTATAATGCTCACAAATCACGCCATGGCTACATATAGCTCCACCTTTTGTGCTCTTCTCTAGCCCTTAATAACCATAAAAATATTGTTAGAGATTCTCGCAGCAAGAGTAATGGTTCTCCCAACCCTATAATCAACACGGGACAAACTAGATCTCTATTCATTTCTCCCATGCGTAAGTATAGAGAAAAGTCAAAAACTAGACTAATCAACACCTATTGCTGCTGCTACAACTTGTCACTTTATACTTTGTTTCCATGTGCCACTTTGTGCTTCGCATCATGGAAAATTCCCTCATGGCAAGGCTTCTTCATCTTGGGATATCATCCATTTTATTAATTGCTTTTGAAAATGGCAGATTCTTCTCAAAACAACTTGTGTTTTCTTTACGTTTCTTTTTGTTGAACTGGAAAAATGTCGCAAGTTAATAGGTTTTTATTGGTTTTCTCGAGTGGACAGACTGAGTAGAGTTGGTATCAATCATAAGAGATATATGAATTTTAAGTCTTAGAATCATGAACCATTAGGTCATTCTATGTAGATACTACTCATTTCACTCATCTTCGTTTAATGTGGGGCTCTAGAATTTAGACTTGAATTGCTCATAATTTTAATATAGAATTAATAGGCTTTTTTTTGGTTCCAATTTGTGGGATTTATTCAATGTGACTCCTCAAATATTTAAAATGAACTAATATAGTAATTTTCGTTAAGTTTATGTTGTCTAAAAGTTAATCACATGTAAATTTCAGTCAATCACTAATATGTGGTCAATTTATAACTTATCTCAATGTCAAATTAGCATAACAAACCACATTGACCCATTTTAAATAAAATTAGGACGGGATTGTGTCACACCCTATTCACGATTACGATTAAAAATTAAAAATTAAAAATTTTAAAACCATAATATTATTAAAATTTTTAAAATCATAATATTATTGTAGAAATCTAAATTCAATAAGTTTTTACTATTAACAAAAAATAAACCATAAGTCTTCCCAAAAACAAAACTCCAAATAAAATAGTTTATTCCAAACAAAATCATAAATTTTTCTTCTCTCTCAATCAACTCGTCGCACTATACATCATTTGAATTATCTGCATTATCATATGCTTTTATATAGTGACATGAGTTATACGATCATTGCACACA